TGGGGTGGGGGGCCGGCGGTGGGTGCAGCGGGGAGGCACAGCGGCTGCGGCCAGGGCTGTGTGGGAGCCAGCACCGGCTCTGCGGTGATGGAGGAGCAGCTCGCTTCTCCCCTGCTGCTCTCGCTGCTGCTTGTTGCATTTCTTTTTTTAAGCAGCAGAATACTGAGATGCAGAAGCCCAAACGAGGCCGTGCCTGACCCTGCCTGCGCTGCAGGTGCCAGCCCGGGGGTGCAGGGCCATGGGGGCTGCATCTGCTGCTCCCCACGTACCGCCTGCCCTCCGCCGGCAGCATCCAGCAGAAATGGGGTTTTTCAGAGGCGCCCGCAGATGCCCAGTGCCCGGTGGCGGGGTCCTGGCTGTCCTGCTGCCTCTTCGTTGCGCTGAGCTACTTTCCAGCATAACTCACTTAAGCACAATCATTGTCCTCTTGCAGTGAGGAGACTCCTCGTAGGAGGAAAAAGCAGATGCATGCGCCCGTACGTGTGAGGGGAAAACACATGTTTTGATTTATGGCAACGGGAGAGAACCGGCTCTGACACAGTTTCCATCCGTCTCACACTGGCTGTTATCAAAATAAAAAGCCCATGGGCTTGGGAGCTGATTCATGGCGCTGCGTCACCTCGGCCGTGCCTGGTGCTGCGGGGCCGTGAGAAGTCACACCCCGCCACTGCCCGCACCCCCTGCCGCGGGGGAATGGCATCGGGGGGGCATTTCTCTGCAGCCCCTTCCCCACATGGTGGGGTTGGGGCTGGACGGGGTTGAGCAATGGGGTTGGCAGCAGAGCCCGTGCCCCAGCGTCCTGCTGCCTGCCCTCGCCCTGCCTGCCCTCACCCTGCCTGCCCTCACCCTGCCTCTTCTCCTCCCGCAGCCGGTTTGGTACAAAGTGTGCCCGCTGCGGCAGGCAGATCTACGCCAGCGACTGGGTGCGGCGAGCGCGGGGCAACGCCTACCACCTCGCCTGCTTCGCCTGCTTCTCCTGCAAGCGGCAGCTCTCCACCGGCGAGGAGTTCGGCTTGGTGGAGGAGAAGGTGCTGTGCCGGATTCACTACGACACCATGATAGAGAACCTCAAGCGAGCGGCGGAAAATGGTACGTAGCCCCAGCGGCGCGGTTGTGGCCTCGCCCCAGGGACTGTGGCGGGGCCGCCCCTGTCCCCTGCGCTGACCCCCATCACGGGGTGCCAGGGTCGTGAAAAGAGGGTGATGGGTGGCCCTGGGGGGTTGAGCGTGAGGCCCTGGGCTGGCAGAGGGCTCATGGGGGTGGCCAACGTGCTGGCAGCACCCGCGGCTCGTGGCAGACCTGCGTGCCCCGGGCAAGGCCGGGGACAAGCCCTCGGTCCCATGCAGCCCGGCATGCAGTGCGTGAGGGAGCCACTGGGATTTTGAGGCTGTGAGTCATAAATCTAGAAGGTGGGAAAGCTGGCGGTCCGACAAAACCTTCCCATCATTTTCCACCCGCCCTGCCTGCCCGGGGACGTGCCGCTCCCAGTTGTCCCCACCGCAGCACGCCGCAAGCAGCCGGCCAGCCGCGGCGTTCCCAAGCAAGTGTGTGACACCGAGGTCACGCGGTGTCACATCTCCTGTCCCCTTGAGCTCAGCCCCATCCTCCTGCGTGGCGGCAGCCAGAGAGCAGCTCAGAGGAACAGATCGGTGGGGTTAGTCGGAGGTGGCGCAGTGCTGGGCAGTGGAAAGCACCTGAGATATGTTGATGTGGCAGCGACGGCAGCTCAGGGGAGGAGGTCGTGGGCTCAGCCCCGCAGGAGCTCAGCTCTGCCTGGGGCAGGAAGGAGCCAGGCCATGTCCTGCCCATGGGCTGGGGATGAAGCCGGTTTGTCTTGTGCCCATGGGGAGTGATGGCCACGGTGGCTACGAGGCTGTTGGCTTTTACCATGGGGGTGCTGTGCCTGGGGATGCTGCGCAGCCACAGAGACGCTGAGAGAAGTGTCTGGGGCCACCTTCCCACTGGACCCTGTGCCCACGACCCTCCTGGGGCTGGGGCTGCACTGGGCCATTGCCCCCGAGTCAGAGCAGGGCTCCAGCCCTCTGTGCCCCTCACTAGCCCTTGGTGGGCACAAGGAGGCAAATGCCACGTCCTGGCCTGTGCAGCATATGGGAACCATTAACAACCTGACATGAAAATAATCAGTGTTTCTGTTTACAGTGTTTGAGTCAGAGGATGAAAACATAGTGCCCGGTTGGGCTGGGAGGGTCCCGGCTTGGGACGGGGCTCGTGGTGTGTTGGTCCATGTGGCTGGCTGCTGCGGAGGCGCGAGCGAGGGAGCAGGGATGGAGGGGGAGCAGGGATGGAGGGGGAGCAGGCTGGTGTGAGGACGGCAGGGGCTGGTGCCGAGGGGTCCTGCAGACCCGTTACCCCAGCTGAGGGCTGGGGGGTGGGTTTGCTACTGCTTGTAAGGACCTGCTGGTGTGGGCTGGGCCCTGCGGTGTCGGGCAGTGCTGGGGCACGTGGCGAGGGTGTGGGTACCTGTGTCCAAGCGTCCCCTGGTTTTGAGAAGGGGGTGGGATCGCTTTGGAGAGCTGCAGTTGCTGCAGAGTTGGAGGGCCACACTCCCACACCCCCCTCCAGTAATTACCCAGCAATTTCTTCTGCACATGAGGTTTTACATACAAGAAAAATAAACAGATGTTGCTGAAGTCAGAGTCCCATTCATCATCTGAAAAGAACAAGTCAAACTATATGAGAAAGTCCTTCAACTCAAGCCAAGACAATCACAGTCCGGTCCAGCTCGGAGAGCGAGCGCCGGGTTGTGCAGGCGCATCCTGGGAGTGGGGCGAGCGCCAACCCCCTCAGGCATCCTCCCTCATCCATCACTTGGTGCTTCACCCGCGCCCCGAGAGCGGCTGGGCGCGACACGGGCTGCAGCAGGGACCCCGGTGAGGAACGAGGCCCTCCCCGTGGGCTCCACAGCCCTGCCAGCACGGGTGGGCTCAGCATGACCTGCGTGGGGAGAGGGTGGACAGTCCCCTCCTGGCACTGATGGAGGCAGCGCCCGCGGGGGAAGATGGGGCTGCGGGAGCGGCGTGGGGCAGGAGCGATGGATGTTGGTGATCCCGGCAGGGGCAGCGTCCAGGGTCCCCCTCTGAGCTGCTCCCTGGGGGCCAGCAGCACATCAGTGCTTCCCTTCGCACTCCACCTTGACATCTGTCTTCCCACTGCCGCCTCCCCGCCCCTTGGTCCCTGCGGCTTCCGACAACTCGTTGCATTTTTCTTAATTCACTGGTGAACTCGGGGCTGCTGGTGTCTCCTCCCCGGTGCGTGACGGGGCTCAGCACCCTGGGGCACCCCCTGAGCAGTGGTGCTGGCTGCTGCTCGCAGCACGGATGTTGTGGGCGACCCCAGAGCGATGCCAGGTGTGTTGTCCCCAGGTCGAGCGGCTGTTGCACACCGGGGTGACGGGCAGGGAATTTCTGACAGGCGGCACTTGGGGTTTCCTTCTTGTAGGCAACGGGATCACGCTGGAGGGGGCTGTGCCCTCGGAGCAGGACAGCCAGCCGAAGCCAGCCAAGAGGGCCCGCACCTCCTTCACCGCCGAGCAGCTGCAGGTAGTGGGGGGGGCCCGGGGGGGGCCGGAGGGGCTGCAGCTCCCCAGCCTCATCCTGACCCCTCTCTTCTCTCCCCGCCCAGGTCATGCAGGCACAGTTTGCTCAGGACAACAACCCCGACGCACAAACGCTTCAGAAGCTGGCGGACATGACGGGGCTGAGTCGGAGAGTCATTCAGGTGAGGGGGGGCTGGGGGCGGGCAGCATCGGGCAGGGGGACACCAAAAAGCTGCTACTACACAGGGCTCGCATCCCTGCAGCCCCTTGCTCCCGCACATCGACCCTGAGACTTGCAGCATCCAGCAGCTTCGTGCTGGTGACATGCCAGCACCACCCTTCCTCTGCCTCGCTCATCAGTTTTTGATTTGTTTTTCCCCCCCTTATGATGCAATGAAAAGAAAAAAAAGCCCCAGCCGGTCCCAGTAAGTTGCCAGGTGGGAAAGCTGCCGTTAGTACACGGTCCCGCCGCTCTGACATCAGGCACGGGCGCTTCCCCGGCAGTCAGCAGCCATCCCTGCCGTGAGCGGGCGAAGCTGCCTCGCTGGGGAAGCCTGGGGTCGAGAAGTTTAAAGAAAAAGGGGTTTTGCAGCCCTAGGGGATGCGGTGGCACAAGTCCCCGTGCTTGTGCTGTTCAGGAGGGAGGGGAGCGCGGTGCCGTAGGGGCTGAGAGAAATGCCCCCTCTGCAGCTCGGCTCCATACAGCCCAGCTTTGCCCCTTGGTGACATTCGTACTCTTCATGTTCATGTCCTGCTGACATACTTTCTACATGCGATAAACCCCACGACACTGATTAAAATAAATTTGGAGCTTTCGTCCAGGGTTGTTTTGCCAATGACACATTTAAATTCTGTGTGTGAAAATCTGGCTTAAGCCTCAGTTATTGAGATTCTTCGTTTAGCCAGAGATCAAGCAGTCTGCACGTTGGGCTATTTTTTATGTGGATATTTTTTAAAGGCGCTTTGAACAGGAAACAATTTGTCAAATGCTTACGACTGTTTCCTTCTCTGTGGTCCAGCGTGCTCGGCCTCAGAGAGCTGATCTTTGCACAGCCTTGGAGAAGACTTTTATTCCAAGCTATCTTTCAAAAATTAAAGCAGAAGAAAGAAATCAGCACATTAGCACGAAAAACCCCTCTTCCCATGCATGTTTTAGCTCTAGGATGTAATGCCCTAACTATTCCTTTAATTAAAAGCAGTAAGATGTGGTCAGAGGGTTCGTACCTGCTGCTCACATGGACTAGGGCTGTATCCCACCACAGTACCCTCCTCTCTCAGCTTTAATGTTCTGCCGATGTGGTTTTTTGAATACGATAAACCACCAGTGATTAAAACAATATTGTGTTCCTCATCCCTGAAGTCGTATCTTCTCCTAGTCCAAGCATTTACTCGGTTTTGTCTCCCCTTGTCTCTCACCAATGCTCACGCGTTTCCCAGCTGATCTCAGCCATGCTTTTAGGCCAGGCTGGCTGGGGTTTAAGGTTAAAATCTAAATACGACCTTAAAGGCGCTCCCATCACTTGCAGTGGAAGCTGTGCAGGGACGGATGAACGCAGGCAGAGCTTGGGTTCGGGGGTGTGTCTGCCCGGCTGCTCCCCTGGACGGGACGGTGCCAGTTACCAAGGGCTTTCACAGCCCCTCGAGCTCAGGGAGCAGCTTGTTGTTAAAATTACTTTCATGTGGAAGGGAATAGTGTGATCGTTAATGCGAGTTTTTGCATCATCTCGTCCAGGTGTTTCACTGAGTGACTCTTGTCACAAGTTTGAAAGTTTTAATGGCCCTGAGAATGACTGGTGTTGGTTTTGACCAAGACAAATCAACAGCAGAGATGCCACTTCAGGCACCTTAATGTCTGTACTGAGACAAAACTCTCGCTCTAGGGAGTGCAATACAAGGCTATGGATGCTGGTGGAATGCTGGTGAGGTATTTCAGTGTGCAGATTTCTAAATTTTTTTAAAATACTTGGAAGAGACACCCACCATAGGCTCTTGGTGAAGGACCACACTTCAATCCAACCGTCTTTCCACTGACACTGGGATTGCTGCTTTTGTTTCAGGTTTGGTTTCAAAACTGCAGAGCCCGCCATAAAAAACACACCCCCCAGCACACGGTGCCGCCCTCGGGAGCCCCCCCATCCCGCATCCCTTCCTCGCTCTCTGATGACATTCACTACTCGCCCTTCAGCAGCCCGGAGCGGGCCCGGATGGTGACGCTGCACGGATACATAGAAAGTAAGTGCCGGCCCGCAGGGCTCCGGCAGCGGGGTGCTCGGGGTCGGCAGGGCAGTGGGGAGCCCCCCGGGAGCAGGCGGTAGCACCACGGCCTGGAGTGCTGTCAGAAACGCCGTGACAGGGCGGGGGCATGGCTGGCACACGTGCTGCTCCTTCGCGTGGTCTGATGAACTTTGGGATTTTCTGAAGGGCCGTTTATGAGGAAGCCCCAGATGAGAGAAGGAAGGGGAGAGGGGGCTGCTGCAGGCTTTTTCCCTCCATGCCTCATCCCCAGGAAACTCACTGCCTGGGTTTTACCTGACTGGTCCTCGGCCCTCCTCGTGTTTTCTTTGTCATGGAGAAGAGGCGCGAATGTGCCTTGTTGAGCTCCGTGGTCAAGTGGTCTCCTTCCTGCTCACAAGATCAGAGTTGCTTTCCCTAACAGTTGCCAAGTGCCAGTGAATCACTGATAGTGGCAGGGCAGCTTTGGTCATATCTGGACGGAGGTTTTTGGCTCCGTGACTCTTGTGAGGCTTCTCCTCTCCCTCGCCCACGCGGGCCGTAGTAAAACGTGGCTCCTGCCATGATCCGCCGGGCACCTCTTCTTCCACGCGTGTCCTGAGCTGCTGCCCGGTGGAAGCCTGACCGTGCCGGTTGGAGGGCGTGTGTTGTTTGTAGTAACAGAGGCTGAAGCCTCTTCTCATCCACAGGTCAGGTACAGTGTGGACAAGTGCACTGTAGACTTCCCTACACTGCTCCACCAGTGCACCTCAAAGCAGACATGGAAGGACCACTATCTAATAGGGGTGAGAAGGTAATTGTAGTCCCTGTTTCAGGCTTTGGGGCCAAACCTCAACTGTAGCAAAGATTTTTTTTTTTTTTTTTTTATTTTTTTTTTTTTTTTTTTTGTGTCACATCATTGCCACTGCTGTCTCTTGTCAGCATCACTGCTTCTCCATGATCTCTGTGTCTCTTCTTAATTTTGGTGGCCCCCAGATTGATGTACCAGCTGTTGGTCAAAGCAGCATCACGTTGTTCTTTGCTAAATACCCCGCGTTGTTGTGCTGTACGGGGATGCTGTGCCTGCGTTCACTGAAGGCTTTTGACATCCTCCTGCCTGAACTCCTCTGGCTCTGGTTTCTCCCCTTCCCGTGTGCAATGAGCTCCATCCTCCCGCTCCGTCCCTCAGCCGTCCGCACGCTGTCGGTGCAAACACTGGCCGGCTGTTCACGACGGAGCAGGGGGGACTTCTAGCATGCGATAACTTTCCAGTTTTCCGTGAGTTAATAAGAAAGATTAATTTCTTGGGGATTCCAGTATTGCTTAAAAAAAAAAACCAACTGGCTGTTACAATATCTGAAGTAGGAATGTTATTTCACAATACCTGGCCAGGAAACAATATTGCATATTGATATTTTTCTCTTCAGCGTTTAAAGCATCTTGTCTGTCCTAACACACGGCTTATTTTGGGGCAAGACTTCTGAAACATGCTTGGGCTCACAAGAATTTATTTAGGATCCAAGTTTAAGTGGCTTCGTTTTGAGGAAACACTGAGCCTCTGGGAATTCTTATTGGTTTTAGATTTTGTCTTTACTGTTAGAAGTTCTCAGCATCTCTCTTTTCAAATCTCCGAATCCGTGCAGCAACGGCAGCTTACTGAGCTCCGCTTCGATAAGCACAAGCAGGGGCACAGCAAAGTCACTTTTTCAGTCTGAACGCTACCATTTTGTCATGATATCTGCACAGCAAGCTGGAGAGGTTTTGGAAAATATTATACTGTCCTGGTGCTGTCATTCAGAAAAACTTCACTGCAGCAAGTAGCTGCTGTGATTTAAATGTAATTACTGGCTTGCAGCTGTTGCAGAACTGGGTTCTCAGGACACGGAGCTGCCCCCCAACCAGCTCCTTTTCCAAACAATCACTTGCATGTTGAATTCCTGAAACCCGAAGCAGCCTCTTTTTTCCACATCCAAAATTTTTTTTAAAAGCAGCCAGAGCTGCGATCTTGGGAAAAGACACGTAAACACGAAGTCTCTGTCGTTTCCCCCTGCCCGTGGGGCACCCAGCCCCGCTCCTCTCGGGGTGCCCAGCGCAGCGGCTGTGGGAGAACCAAGCTGTGAGCAGCGGCTGCGTCCCCCGACGGCTGGCCGGGGCAGACGCTGTGCCTGCTGAGCGGCGAGGTGCAGCGCGGAGGGGAGGCCTCTGCTGATCAGCGAGGGAGGGCAGACACGGTGAGGATGGCTGGCAGCGGTCTTCATCTTCCGTGGCAGCGGCCGTACCACAGAGCGCAGAAGCGCTGGTTTCAGCGTGTTGCTCCCTGTGATCCAGCCTCACGCCCGGAGGTGCAGTGGCTCTGGGGCTGTGTGCGGCTGCTGTCCCGTTACCTCTGCCCGCGCCGGCCCCGTCCTGCGGGCAGGGCTGGCAGCCAGCGGGCAGACACCGGCTCCAGAGAGGGTTTTCCATGGGGAAGCGGCTGCCTGGGCGTCCGCGGGGCACATCTCTGCTCTGTCGGACCTGAAAACGCGTTTCCATTGCGAGGGCTCTGTGCCTCTGAAAGCAGCTAACGCTCCGCTCCCGTTTCTCCCACTAGGTCATCCTCTTTCAGTACTGACTGCGCGAACTCTTCCTCACCTGCCCATGGCGCTACCAGCACCACTGCCCCTCAGCCGCTGAAACACGACGTCCGGCCCAAGGCAACTGTTATCAGTCATGCAGGAGAAACTCAGATCCAGCATTCTCAGTTATTTCCATTGACCAGCACCTAACATCCACTATTATTTCTCCAGCGACACTCTGTGTATGTGTGTGTTGAGTGCAGAGTTACATTTTTCACTTGTTTCTTGTGGACTTGTAGAATGACCGTGAGTCTCTCCAAGGCAATGCCAGACACAGTCAAAATTAGTGACTCTACTGTGCTTGCAAATCTTGCTCCCAAACCCATGGGAATACGAACAAACCAGAACATGCTGAGTCTCGGGGGGGTCAATGATCACCTCTGAACATAAAGGAAGGAGGAATTTATGTGGTTTGGCCTGATTCTCTTTTTGCACCAGTGAAGCGCTGTCGGTTCTCGGACATCCCTCCTTATTTCCACTTGCATGTGTGAAATCTGAAATGGGCTTTCTGTCTCAGCAACTCGATATATACACAGACCTTCCTGAGCCAAACTCGCGGGTAGCTGAGACTCCACTATGTGGAAAACACGATGCCAGCTGGAAATAGGCAGTTTTTCTTCCTCCTCAAAGTGCTTTAGAATCACATGTCCTTTGATCACTCTAAGGTAAGTAAATCTTAGTGTTTTTCCCCCCCATTTTATAGGAGGGGAAACTGAGATGTCCTAAACTGAGAGGAACCGTGGGGGTTGGTGGCAGAGCCAGGTTTAGCACCCTGAAGTTTTTGATTGCTGACTTGTTCTTAGAACAGTGAATATCTCTCTCCTCTCACAGCCATCCGCCAAATCTTTTTTTTTTTTTTTTTAAATTTTTTACTCTTGTTCTTTATTAACAAGCTACTTTATTTCCTTGGAGTCATATTGGATCACGAATGGGTGATTTCAGAATGTACCTACACAAAACGCTCAGATGCTCCCTACTCTGGGACTGGGAACTCCTCAATGGAAGCTGGCCGCGAAGGGGTAGAAATATTCTGCCCTGGTGTGGACCCAAGTTCAGTCAGTGGAAACAGTGGGGTAGAAACTGGAGACCAGTTAAAAAGGTGAAAAGTGCAGTAAGGCCAGCAGGAACAGTCGCTAGCTGAGTGGACAGCAAGGTGATGGCTTGTTCCTTTATCTGGCAGCACCGCGCTGGTTCCCGCTGCCCGCCTGTTGCTCTCCCTTGCTGGAGCACGGCTCTGGCTCCTGCCAAGTCCTCGGACGAAGGCGCAGCCCGGGAGAACGGCTGCCGGCGGGGCAGGCACCGCAGGGCTCATTGCAACAGCAGAGGAAGTGCTCAGCACTCTGGCCCCGAATCAGGAAAAAACTCCGCAACGATCCTTCATTGACGGTAATAACAAAAAGTAAACAACTAACCTTTGCCAGCCCTTCTCAGTTTGCACCAAGCCAAGAGCAGGTCTGTAAGGAAACCTCTCTCCATGCAAGCACAGGGGTCTGTCTTGCTGCTAAGTGTCTGTGAGGCCACGTTTCCAAGAATGTGAAAGCCCACCATGAGCCACAGTTAGTGCGTAATGTGACTGAACTGTGCCTGAGGAACAGAAGACAGGAATCCATCCGTTGCATAACTCGTTTTTAATTCGAACTGTAGATACCTGTGTTTTTCTCTCTGGGAGATCCTGGATCAGTCTCCAGCGTCGGGCGGGTGGGCAGTCACCCACTGGTTTGGCCCGGCCGTATTGCCCCGGCGGCGAGCCTGCTCCCGACCGTGCTGCGGAGCTCCGTGTGACACCGAGTGACGGCCGGAGGCGCGAGGCACACGGCGCCCTGAGCCCACGGCGGTGGCGCGAGGAGGCGCGGGGGGTGGCTGCTGAGGCGGCCACCAAGACCTCTTGGTTTGAGAAATAACCCAGCACAAGCATGCATCGATATTCGTTGGAACAAATACATAGATAGAGATATACACACGCATACCTCTGTGTGCGTGTATGTATATATATTGAAAAAAATACATGGAGCACACGATGGCGATACCTTGGACGGTTAGGCCAGTATTCTGTCTAACTGCAGCCAGCAGCTTGCAGCTCTATCCCCAATTTAAAATAACATTTGAAAGGAGAGAGGAAATTAAGTCTGCAAAGTATTATTGTCACCTCCTGACGTGCGAATAACCATTTCCAGTGCGTAGCCAGTGACAAGGCGCTCCCGCGCGCCTGACCGGACTGGAACCGCTGCTGCAGAGGCGTCCCCTGGGGAGGGGACGGGCACCAGTTGCACCCTTGCAGTCACTTTTGTCCTTGTCCGTAGCAGTGAGAGAAGGACGGGCCTCCCCGTTGGTGAAGCGTTTGTAGTCGCAAGGTTGAGGGGGATCGCGGCGTCCGCACGCAACAGCCTTAGGGCGCTGGTGGGGGTCGGCAGGGTCACCGGGGCCGGACTTTCTGCTCCGTTTGTGCTCGCACATCCTAATGATTGTTTAGTTGTGGAATTAGTGCCATAAACGACTGGGTAGTTATTTCATTTAAGACTGAAGGAGAGACTTCAGGCTGTAACTTGACCCGACATCCCACAATACTTGAGATTTCCACAACGGTGTTGTTGAGGGGGAAAATGGTTTGATGCATTTCTCTTCTGTCTCGGCGGTGCAATGAAAGGGAAACTATTAAATGTGTATCTGCTAAATATCAACTTAGTTACTCATCAAAAAAAAAAAACAACAACAAAAACCCAAACCCAACAACCCACTTGTGAGATGAACTGTAGAGCAAAGTGTTTGTAACCGATACCACGGCCAGGCCTGGAGCACGAAGTGGAGGGCCGAGGGAGCACGGGGGCTTCTCTCTGGTGGAAGGGGACTCGGCACTGCCCGCGGGGCGAGCTGCCCCACACAGGCTGTGCTCCGGGGCACCTTCCCCCACAAGTAGCCAGGAGCAGCTTTGCTAATTCAGAAATCAGGCTCTGTTTATATTAAGCCCAAATTGTTTGCAAAAAAAAAAAAAAAACCCAAACTGGAAGCAATTCAGCTTGTGCAGTTTTAGAGCTAATTATGTGTATGGAAAATACTCAACTGTACCAAGAATGTAAGAAATCCTCTAATTTATTCAATACATTGTTTCACAACATATTTCACACTGACTGTTGCCACTGAACCAAACCTTATCTCAGGTCATTTGCATTCATCTCCTGTCTGTAGATTAAAAGAAAAAAAAAAAAAATCATTCTCATTTTCTTAAGTTTATTCAGTAATTGCCAAATGGGTTCTGGTGCAGCAATGCAGATTCCACGTACTCAACTTTTCCAGTTGCTATTTACAAAACCTTTTGCAGACAAAATGCAATGAGGACAGCCAGCGAAAGGCTTTTCACTCAAGTTGAATAAGGTAACTAAATATGGCTAGGGTCGGAAAGTGGAATGGTTTACAGTTTTATTGCCAATTTTTTTTATTTTTATTTTTTTTGGGCTCATGCTGGTTAACCCCAATGCCCGAGCTAAAGGTGCTTACACAACTTACTAGTTGGGACGGGGGAGTGGGAACAAATCCTGCACTACTATCAGTGATATATCTGTAGGATGCCAACTATAGACACATCAGTTTTATTTCATCCGCCGATCATTTTGTTGTAGCATGTTGCAATTCTGCATGTCTTGGCTACAATGGTTAAAAAAAAAAAAAAAAAAGAATTTCTCTGAATGAGTGGACAGTCAAGACTAATATTTATTTTAAAAAAGTAAAACTAAATTGTAAGCACTTTTTTGTAAAACCAATGTCTGTTTTGTTACATACTTTTAATGTTGTGCTTTGTAAATGTCTTATTTGTGTAATAAATAAAGTTAATGCAAGTAGAAGTGCTGGCACTTACATCCAGAAAATGATGTAATTCCATTTTATTTTATTTTTAAATACTTTCTGGCTTACTAATCAAGCAGCAACCCACCCAGTTTTCCTCTTTTATTATTTTGTTAAACTCTGGCTTCAGGAGAGTTCAACAAACGTTCGTAGTAAATGGATATAATTTCCTAGTTAGCAAACCAGTCATTAAAGAATACCTCTGGTGTACATTATTACAATGATCAATCAATATCAAAGTACTGAGCAAAAAGAGAGGAAAGGAATTCACCAGGACAGCTAACTAAAATCTGGGAAAATAATGTTGATTAAGATGGATTTGAATGACTTCAACACTGAATCTGAGGCACTCTTTTTAACAAATTGTTTTCAGGCTTAATAACGTTTGTGTATACTACTCTACACACCTCTCAGGAATATTTTTTTTTTTTTTTTTTTTTTTTTTTTGCCGTGGCTTTTTCTCAGCATGACTGATTAAATGATTATTTCCATTTTTGTTTGTGCTGACAAAGATGACAAAAAAGATTATATTCCTGTAGAGGGAACGGGTGAGACAAAGCCATGAGGCCAAATTAGATTTACGGTGAATCAGATTACCTGCTCTGGAATATTATTGTCTATCAAAACCTGTTTGCATGGGTTTGGTTTACGTTCAATTGTTTCATCCAAAGCTTTCCGGCAGGTCCGAATGATCCATTCATGCTCCTCATCATCTAAAAGGGAGATAAAGAGAACGTCAAATATCACCATGTCAGAGCCGCTCTTCGCATCGTGAGGCTCCGGCTCAGACAAACAATTTTTCCTTTACGAAATAAATCCCTTTTTAGCCATTGGCATCTCTTAGAACGCTTTTTGTTGGTTTGTTTCTTTAAAAGACTGTGTCTTGTTGGTTTGGAATTTGTCAAGGCAGGAGGGACTGGATCTATGGCAATGACTATTCATCTGTTTGATAAAATTAGCTTGGGCGGAGCTATGAGATTTACATGTATAGATTTTTTTTTTTTTTTTGACTTTTTGGCAGGAGATGTGCGGGAGATCCGTTGAAACTATCAGAAATTAAGATAGGCATTTTTTTTTAAATGCTATGTCTGTGTTGCTTGTTGGTTTATGAAAAGTGAAGGTAAAGAAATCTAGAGTCAAAACCTAGGTTCTTGTCTTCCAGCCTTTCTTTCAATGCTGTTTTCGAAACGCCCGACGCGATGACAGGTATCGATAAGCTGACAGAGTGGCTGATAGACGTGTTTTAGACCATCTTCTGTGTCCCTTGTTAGTATTCATGTCTGTCATATTTATTCTCAGAGCATAATGACAGTGTGGAAAGAAAAAAAAAAAATCAAAGACAATGTAGGAAAAAAAAACAACTGTCCAGCAAAGTTTGAATAGAAATTTTGTGTATGATTACAGAAAACAAGTTGGCAAATGTGAAGTTGTGGCTTCTTAATTCCAGGGATTTTTAAGAGTCTTGTCTCCAAAAAAACTGTTCTGCAGCCTTTTCTTTTGTGTTTGTGTAGGGGAAAAGGGATCTCTGTAGTAGACAAGGAAAAACAAACTTCAAAAAGCCTTGAAAAAAATCAAAGTATTGCTTAAAACAATACCTGTATTTATTTTCATATAAATGAAGTGCAATGGAGCTGCTTCTTGTGTTTACCACCGTCTTGACAAATTCGTGTTAGCTGGTTGTGACTTGTGTTTCTAACCTGCCCTGATCTAAATTTGAAGGGGTTTGTAGCAGCTCTTGTCACCTGCAAGAGGACACAAACAAAGGGCTGGTTGTGAGGAGGCTGGAGCTGAGGGGGCTGTAACCCCGGTGCTGCGAGCGCCGCCTGGCACAGCGCGCAGCCCCGCTTAGGTAGGTCAGAACAAATCAAGGAGGAAACAGGTTGCTTGGAAGGAGTCGAATTGTTGCGGAGATCCTTTGACCTTGGAGTTGTGCCTTTAAGTTTAAGTGAAATGGTTGCAGTTGAAGTGCAAAAGGTGGGAAGGTCTTGGGGATGAAGTGGTGCTAATGTAAGAAGTGAAAGCTCACAGAAGGGTAGGTGACAAATCAGCTTCGATGCGCAAGTTTTCGAGCTCTTATTGGCTGCCAGTGGGGTTTGAATCAAGTCAGCTTTGTCTTTCCTATTTTTCCTCCTGTTTTTTCTCATGCTGCCACCCCCTTTTTTCTCATGGCTGGCCGAGTGAGTGGAGTGCATGCCTTCGCTCCTCGTGAGGTGCTGCTCACACGCAGCGCTGCTGGCATCCTGGTGAAAGCAGGCTTACGGAACGCGTGTGCCAAGGCATCTGTCCCTCATCGGAGCAGCAGCACTCATCTGCCACCCTTGACAGCCAGTAATCAGCAAGGCTGGTGGCTCACAGGAGCATTTCCCTACGAGCCTGCTCTCCAGTTCGCTCTTTGCACGGAGTCACTGGTTTCCAGTGCCTGCTGACCCTCTTCTCACGGTGCTGCCTTGCCACAGCTCGGTCTTGGTGGTGAGCACCCACCTTTGAGCAGCACCCCAGTGACCGTGAATGGGTTGGAGAACACACTTGTGCTGCCATTGTTCCAACAGCTCAGCCTGCAGGCTTGCTTTAATGACTGAAAAATGGATACCGTTTGGATAGAATAGCTAAGTTCAGCTCTTTCTGTGTTTCACTGACATGATTTCTTTTTTACTCCCTGTGCCTATGAATCAATGGGTCCATAACAAAATACCCCTGTTAATGGCACGTTTCTTATACGGGTATAAACTAGGAGAAAATAAATGCTGAAAAATACGCTAAAAGGGAAATTAAAAAGATGAGCACTGAATCTTGCTTAAAGACCACGCAATCCTTACAGAGGCAGAGATTCCACTGAGGGCTGCAGCAGGAATGCAAATGTGGTCCTTAAGCATTCTTAAAAAACAACATCAAAGCCATAATCAATGTGCTGGCTTTTGTTCTATGCACTAGGTGTTCCAGCACAGTAACGACGTGATCACATGAGCCTCGGCTATAACAGAGATTGTCCAGCCTGGGTAGCTCTGTGATTTTAGCTGGAATTGCCTTAACTACAAAATAGTTTATCTGAGCTTGTAAGAATTGCATGAAAATGAAACTTTGTCTATTTGCGCCATGGTGAAGGAATAAATAATCCGTACACGCGTTACGCATCACCACCGTCTAGCCCGTCTTTGGGTACAGATTTATGTGGCTCACCTGAGTACTAGAAATAATCATCCTGCCTTCCTAGTGAGAAATCCACGGCGCTCACTTAGCTGAGCATCAGGGCTGGGAGCACTAAGCAAGGCAGATGTTAACTTGGCTTCACTGAACAGGTTTCCCACAGACCCTTGGTTTGCCTGGATTGTTTCCTTCTGCACTCTGGGATTTCACGGTCTCCCAGGAAAGCACACAGGGCAGGTTGCTCTAAGGATTTTAGCCTCCCTGGACCCGTCCTAAAATGTCTCGGTCCGTGCAGGGATCTGACCGTGTGCCAATGAAATAGGTGTTCAGCAGCGGCGCTTAACTTGCATATAGCTTAATCAGATGTAAAAACTGAACGCGCTACATGAATTTCAACTTTTCATATGAAAAGGATGTAACGACTCGATATTCCAAAAAATAACCTAAAGCAAATCCCTGGAACTGCTATCCAACCCGGCGTACCGCGCTACTGGTCTTGGTCTAGATAAGGGGAAACGAAAGAATTGATCCAGCCTAGCAGAAGAACCACAAACCCAGAGATGAGAATGGCTCCAGGGCTGGCTATGTGGGAAGAGGCAGGGAAATATTAGAATGTAAAGAGTTAAGCTATGGTAAAACATACTTTTGCTACACTAAAGAAGACTGGTTGATAATTACTGTAGTTTTAGGGCTATTTGAATCAGTGCAGCTGCAACCTCTTCAGTAGTAACCCCTGAAACAAGACAAACTGGGTTTATTGTACTGAACAAGTCTTAAAGCTCCTCCCTGATTGTTAGTAATTGGCAGCAATGGACTTAACAGCCTCTTGACTACCCTTTTTACACTCTACCTGACTGTGCAGCTAACAATTTAAATCACAGATGCCGATCCTTCTTTGTGGCAGCTGCTTGTTAACTACACGTTCCTCTTTTTCTGTCACTGGCTGCTTCCATAACCCTGCAACACCAGGGTTAGATTGGAGAATCACATTTCATCAATATTTAAAATGGAATTAAACCTTGAAGTTTGATTAATGCTACCGGATAGTGAGTTGTAATTACTATTTTGCAAATTGCAATTGTTTGAATATGTTAATATGATTGTCTAAGCACATCTTCACCTTCAGAAGTAATTTTCCCTTTAAAAAAGATTTGAAAAAAAAAAATACAAACTCTTTAATCAGCGGTAAATTATCACCCTGTGCACAATTAGGTTGTATGGGGTTCTTCGTGTTGTGTGCCGAATTTTGTGTCAGCTTATTTATCTTTAAAAGTTTTCCATTTTTTTTAGATTTTCCTCAGTAGAATAAACATTTATGGAACAGAGTTTGCTGGAACAGGACGAACAATGTTGACATTTGAAGGTAAAGAAAAAAAACCCTGTCTGAAAATTTTGTTGCGATCTAGTGTATCCCTATTCAGTTAGCAAAGGTTAACAAGTTATTCCTTCCAAAGTTAGTGAAATATTATTATCATGAAAAATCATTGAAATATTGGCGATAGCGAGAGATCTTAATGGATGAGTTGTTAAAATACACGTAACCATTGACTGATTCTCTAGAATTCTTTTCTTGTCTCAATCAAGATCTGTTTTCTAGCGCCCACAAAATATATTTTGAATATTGTGGGTCGGATCTTCAGGCAGCCCAAACCGGGACGGCTTCTCTTTTATTTTTCTAATTAATTCAGGCTGTTTTCATTAGGCGGGCAGAGGCATACGGAGCCAACCCTGGTGGCCACCTGCACGACTGATGCCCAGAAACAGCATCTGCCCCCGGTAGATGATTAACCAGGGGCACACGTCCTACGGATCTACTGTTGGATACACAGTCAACAGGTCGGTTTGGATAAGAGTTTTTTTAGGCAAACCCAACCAAATCTGTTGGTCACACTGTGTTCATTAAGTAGCCTGTTTCAAAATTAGTTCTTCTCAACAAATAACTGCTTTGAAAGTTTCTTCCTTGGTTTGGGTGGCTTTAGGGGAAGCTCCAAACGCCAGCGAAGGCCGAGCAGGTGTTTGTCAAAAATGCTCTTTGGGGTATATTCCACTGTGAGCTCAAACTGCAGCCCGCTTAAATCAGCGGATTTCTCCTCAGCATCTCTGCAAAACGAAACCACTTGCCTAATTTTCAATGTTCAGTCTAAAAGTAGTGGCGGAAGAGACTTCCCCAACTACACACTCCAGATTTATCTCTCAACTGGGACTAGAAAGAGCTGAAAATTCAGGGTGGGCTTGCTTCAGCGTGGTTCCAAGGGCTGACCTGAAAATACGCTGTAATTTAGGTGCATTTAATCTTCCTACATTAAATGCATATTATGAAGTTGAGCATTATTTGCTTCTAGCTATCGTGTCTCTATGTTGCTTACGGAAACCTCAGCTGTGAGAGACTCCTCAGGACTCTGTGTGCTCAGGTGTCTGCAGCTTTGCTGTGTAGGCTTCCAGATTTGCCCTCTCAACTAATGCTCTCCCAGGAAACCACCTCGAGGTGCACAGGAGGACGTACTGCACTGAAATTAGAATACTTGGTGGCTCACACAGGGAAGGAAACGACATCGTTCACCTTGTCTGG